AACTGTGAAATAACTTATGTCTATTACTGCTTTGGTATATGTTCTTAGCAAGCAAGCAAGCAAGCAAGCAAGCAAGCAAGCAAGCAAGCAAGCAAGCAAATTAACAATGTTCGTTTAAGTAGCCTCCTTACATTCCAGTTTGAAAGGCAAAATAGATCCACGATTTAGATCGGTGATAAATCAATCGAACGGTTCGCCAACTTCAACTTCAACATGCTCACGCCACGTATGCGGAGGCGTTTGTGGGTATCGCTTATAAAATTTCATGGTACAGCTTTAGGGCGCTGGACTGGTAATCTAACGATAAGAGTTCGAACTCCAGCTGTTGCATCCAACCAATACCACATTCCTTTTTTTTCTTTTTTTTTTTAATTTTCTTTCTTAGATTTTAACGCTCTTACCTTATTTCCTTTCACCTTAGACACTTCTAGACTTCATGTAAGATCGTTTGGATCTGTATTATGTATCTATCGATCAATCGATCGTCTACTTTGTTGCTTTGAAAAAATATCTGCTTTCTATTGCTTTGAAGTCGTCTGCTTTGTGGAAATACACTCGCTACCTACTTATTGGTTTTATACTTAGCTCTTTTATAGTACCGATGTCAATCCTACTGATCTTAGTAATCTCTTTCTTATATTTGCAAATTTCGAAGTTTATTCGCGAGAACCCATAGCCCTTCCACCATATTCTCAACTCAATCCTAAAACTTCACTTCGCTACACTTTGGCGCTCAAATTTTAGGTCACGATGCCTTCGTTGCGTCATCACCTACATACGGGTCGCTACACAAATTTATTCATTGCAACGCCGATCGGCACGCTACCAGCGCTACTGTAATATTGCGATGTAAATGTTTATACACACTTCCGGACCGCTATTGTTGCGTAAAGAAGTAGCTACAATTCATCTCCAATCCCAGCAATACTGTAAGTAAATTGCTGACTTATCTTATAACTTAATGTCTGCTCAAATGTCAGGTGTATAGTGCATGAAGAGAAAGGTTAGTGACAATTTTATGGAGGAATCTCTACAAAGAATACAACACTGCTCAACAAGCAACTGCCACCTTCGGTAATGTGGCTTCTGTTACAATGTGCTGAGGCTCACAATTTAAAAAATTTGGTGTGAATATCTTACATAACTTATCTCAACAGTTTCTGAGTTTTTACTTTGAATGGAGATAATTCTGAACGATGAAAAAAAATCTCATGCACATATCAAATTCTTCTGTACGTTTTCGCTATCTGATGGAGTAATGAATTATGGTAAACGACAAGACATTCATTTGCAGCTAAACTCCTGTGACACAATATGTTATTTCATTTGAACAAATTGTGTTTTGTTTTAATTTGTAACATGTTGCTGTCAAAAGAGAAAAAAATTAATTTTCAGTGCTAGAATGAATAATTTAAGACTACATCTGCCACACTTTAGTAATGCTGTGATTCTGTTACACACAACCTTTTTGAACCAACCACTTTCATAGCCCAAATCAACTCTGCCTTCCTTCCTTGCTTCATCCTTAACAGAAATACAATGCAATGTTCCACTTAATTGCTTTTGTCCAGTTTGAGAATCTTGTGGTTTTCAACCAATGCTAGCAGCCGAAACAGAAGCTGCGTTTGAGGTATTGCCAGGTTCTATTAATTGAGTGGGTGCAAAAACCATTTGGGAGTCACTGAGTATTTCATTTGCCAGTGTTTTGTGACTTTGGCCCTCAGCATGCTGAAGTAATTCTGGAAGTCCTTGCTTGTTGCATCGGAAAGTCTTTTTGCAGATGGAGCAAAAAGCCTTTCCCACTTCATTGCTCACCTGGAACTAACTAGAAATTTTATGACCCAGTCCATCCGTAACCTCAAGCCACTCCTTCTTGAAATGCATCTTTGCACCAGTCATTTTAAAGAGAATTTGCCTAAGTAACCTGCAATAAGAAACGTGCTGTGTTAGGGCTAGAACAACATTTTCTACAATAGTTCACTTACAATTACCATGTCATGACAATCATTCTTTAGTGAAACAAGGGTACTTTAAGCATTTCATCATAGTCTAGGATGATCTGTGTTACAAAATTTGTAACCATTTAATGTCCTCCACACCCAAGCAGCTCTGGAGGTTAGGGATGCCACACCCTTCACAATTTGACCGGCACGGAAAACTAAACACCAAATTCTGCCAGTAACCTCAAACAAAACAAGCTGATACAGATGCCTGCCTATTTTGTTAAAGATTAAAGTAGAGGCTCCAGAGGACAGCATACTGATGTGCCTCGTATGTCTGTTTGTATTTTGCAAGGAATTGTCTCAAGAGACATTTTGGAAACCACCTCCAAATTCAAGACCAAACATCCACGCTCAGATGAAGACAAAATGTAATACCTAGTAAATCTCATTAACATTTCACTATACAAATAGGTTGAAAATGGTTTTACCTTGTAACACTGCTCCCAGTCTCATTCAATCGAGTCTAATAATAATAGCAAACCACAGGTCACAACATAACACAGCCTGTAGTTAGAGTACACTCAATTCAATCTCAATCTGACCTGTTGGACACAATCACTTTATTTTCTTACTTATAACTTAAGCAGTATTTTTGGAAATATAGGAGTTTTTGGCCTATTATAGGAGTTTTAGAGGATCCTATAAAATAAATGGGAAAAATAGGAAATATAGGAAGGCTGGGATGTATGCAGGTTTCAATTCAATTACAGCATTGAAGCTGCCAGACATGCACGTTTACCTTTGTTGTGGAGGTAAAATTAGTGTCTAGTATATGCTTAGTCATGCTGACTTGCATGTACAAGCTCTCTACTGTCATGCCATGGAACTTTTAAGAAGATTCCATAAGATCACATAGTTATGATGTAATCTAACAAAAAAAAGTTATGTTGTAACTTTCTGGAACGTTCTGGAGTAATTTGTGGTAAATATGTATATAAAGACTTGGTCAGGTACAAGTAGTAGTTGCTGTTTTTGGAGTGACCAACTGTTTGTTACCAAGAGAGAAAACTATTGTTGATTTGTTAATTTCAAGGAAATTAGGAGAAAACTGCGAGTTTGTGCAATGACCAGCTGAGATATAGTTTGAGGGCTTAAATAAGATATTGATGATAGTCACTGTTAGATATTGATATGATAGATATTGATGATAGTCACTGTATTTTCTATTAGAGTTGCCCCTAAATTTAAATACTACACATCTTTTAATAACAGTAGTTGGGTTTACAGGATAATGGTGTTTTTCTGTTCATTAAATCATACCATGACACCCTATAAGTTGAAACTTTAACAATTCTGGTGGATGTCAATCATTTTAAACAAGAAGAGGTGTAAATTGTAGTCAATTTCTTTCCATATAAAAGGTAAAAACTGAGAAATCGAACATTTTATTCAAGATTCCTTACAATTTTTTTCAATATTACAACATATTGTTCTCTTCAAATATAACAGGTTTATTCAATATTCAATAGGGCATCAATGTAAACAGAATTTGGTTGTTGGTGCAAATTTTAACTTTAATACAAATGGTGAAAATACAATAACATAACATAATCTTTATTTCTTAACATAAAATCACATATCCTAAGTTACCACATCAACTCACAAGGGAAACTATTACATGTCATATTTAAAAATTATCCTATTACTAAAAACATTCTTAAAACTTTCAGTGTGGATTCTAGGGACAGAGACTGACGTATTTCTAAGATTGTAACTCATGTTCTTTTCCTTAGGTAAAAATTGCAAAAACAGGCATTCGGGGTCATTCGATCTTTTTTTGTAGAGTGCCTTGTTCACCTTCTCTAGCAAATCCCTCATATCTACATTCTTGGACATTAACTTTCTTTTCAAACACCGGTCCGAAAAGTTCTGTTATATAGAAAGCTCGGAGTCTGAGGCACCATAAACCGGAAGAGCATAAGAACAATTTGGTAAAACTATAGCATTAAAAAGGTGATCTACTTCCTCCTGGAACATTCCTTCCTTACGTAAAGATCCTAATATGAATAATGACTTATTCGCCTTAATTACCTTCGCACGCACGTGACTGCTATATTTACAATTTTGTTGGAAAGTAATACCTAATATGGATAACTCTGCACACTGTGGTATATCCCTAACTGGTGCGATGTCCTGATTGAAACCTTTCTTACGGAAAATAATCTCCTTGCATTTTGTTGGATTGCATGTCATGTGATTGTGGCTGGACCAGCTAAGAAACTGATCCACCAAGTCAGTGCGACACTGGCCATTTCCCCAAAAAGGGACGATAATTGTAGAGTCATCAGCATATTTAAACAAGGCTGGGCGACCTTCTACATTGAACTCCAAATCATTAATAAACACATTAAAAAGATATGGCCCACTGAAACTACCTTGTGTCGTACCCATATTAACCTCACGCCACTGTCCTTTACAACCGTTATAAAGTACTCGCTGCTGGCGTTTCTTGAGAAAACATAAATACCAGTTCACAATAATGGGATTCAATGGCAACTGCCCAAGCTTAGATGACAAGAGTTCATGATTGACACAATCAAATGCTTTGCTAAAATCCATTGCAAACACTCTGACGGCTTTGCAGTCCGGGTGTGACATAAATTAAAACTGAGTATTCTATTATTTCCACTCTTTCCATAATTTTCTTCTCACTCAATATAGAGGGCCAGGTTGTTCAAAGCTGCGTTAAGATAGACCAAGATTAGAATGGAATTTAATTTCAGATCTGAAAGCTTGGAAAGAAAATTGAGTAGAATTCTTTTCTCTACAATTTGAAGACTGGATGCTCCATAAATAAGAGAGAAAATCTTCCAACAAAAGGCTTTTGAACAAAGGAGGAAAGAAAAGAAACCTGGATTAAAATTTAACCCTGGGTTAGGGCTTATTAGGCTTTGAAACAACTGGGCCTGATGTTTATTGAAATCTTGATACTATGAGATGATGAAATTATAGTTAACACAACATTTACTCCTTCAATTTGAACAGAAAAGAAAAGCCAGAGGTCTGGTTCAGCCAAATGATAGGGAGAACTATCAGTCCTGCTTAACCTTAGACCAGGTTAAGATTGAAATTAGCCAAAAGACTGGAGTGGATTTTAGGATGGTTTCTCCACAAAGGATTCCAATTCAGTGGATAAGATCAACATCAAACCCATGGAATGGCCAAGGAGAAAATAATAGCTGCTATAGGCGGATTCATGCTGACGTCATTGTTTACATTTTTGCTCATTTCCATACGGCTTTGCGTAAAGAAGGAAGCATGTTAGATACAAATTGACTTCACACAGCTAAAGAGCTAGAAAACCTCAGTACATGGTGAAATTTTTAGCTCTTTGGGTGTAATATTTAAGGAGAAATAGTCCACCAAAAACTGCAAAATTTCTGGGTGGCAAAAGCACTAATGAGCTCATACATTCTATGTAAAATTTTGAGTTTTTAAACCCGTGTTGCACAAAAAGTATTCAATGCATCAGGCTCGTATTCATTGGCCGAGTTAATCGTACTTTGACCTTTCAATATTCAGAACTGATTTATTTTTAGCTCCATCAGAAACTGAATTGCTTATGCTAATGAGGCAAATATTGTAAACAAGGATTCCCCTCTACATTTCCCTGAGTCATGGCCACAAATTGACTGAGACCCATGGGTAAAGCAGATAAACAATCCCTAGCAAAGAAAAGATTCACTGACAAAGTGATCTTTAAATGAAAACTGGCTGAAGCAATAAAAACAAACCCAAAACATTTTCTGACAGGGCCACCTACAATTTTAAGTCTAAAATCTCAGAAACATAAACAGCATCTGAAAAATCTCGATTGGAATGAATCAGATCAAAGACAAGATCACAGATTAGACCAAGGATTGCATCATGAAAAGGCAGTTGCCTGCACTCCAGTAGTCATATCTAAAGCAATCTAAATCCTCACCTTGCCTCTTCTCTACCATGTAAGATGATATAAAAAGAAAAAGAAACAATAACTGACCAATGAAATGATACATACCGCTACCTCTTGCTTGCCTTCTTCCATGGCAGCACTACACAACACTCCTTGCCAAATACACGAAAGTCACTTCATGGGGTTTTGGTCCAAAAAAAACATCCAGTAGGAAATGCACTCCATTTTGTTAAGCAGACTTTATTTTGGCTTGTCAAAGGACACGTCAAATTTTAATGAACATGTTGTACATTTTAATAGATATCTGCTTTTTAAATCTTTTGGTTGTCCTTTTTTTCCTGATACAGTGCATGATCCAATGTGTGATCTCATCCATGATCTATTCCTTGATTCAGTCAGTGATCCAATCTCATCCCTTTCAGTACAGTCTTGCTCTTCTAAACTTCAGAAACACAAATCTTTTGAAACCAAAACAATCAAAGGTGACATATCGTTTAACAAAAATTACTACCTAGGGTGGTTGTGTATCTCTTTCTGTTTATTCTTGTGATCAACAAAGTATCAGATCACTGTATTGGGACGATATAGGCAACTTCTCGTTTAGGTGAAGATAAGATGGCACTCAGCTAGTGCTGTTGTGAAACATCTCGCAGTAGAGGAATTTTTCATCATAGCCAAACACGTAAACCTTAATTGTAAGTGAGGAGATTCTACAACCTGCATTGCAATGTGACGTACGCACTATGTAATTGGTTCAAACAGTAAAGCACCGTTCAGTAATGTATCGTCAAAACATTGGACCCTTCTCCTCTGCCATTAAGAAATATATCTTAACATCCCCAACGTCAGTTCTCACTGTCTCCTCGTGCTTTATGAGAAAACATGCAGTTACTCCGTAAGCCAGAGTAGGAATTCCCAAATTCAAAATTTTCAATAACGTGAAGATATTGTTCTCGAGCTTCAAATCCTGCCAAGGTCTTTTAGAGCAGTGATATTTGATGAAAGGAAAACAGCCCGTTCTTAGAATATGGTAGTTTTGTCCATCAACGCGCCAGTTAAAATGCGACATTCCAAAGTTGTCATTCATCACCGACTTGTAGCGGACGAAAAATGAAGTCCAATTTGGCAGTCCTTTTTGACGTAAATGCTGTGTTAATACCTCTGATGCTTTAGGTTTCAGCTTGGAATTTTGAAACAGTCTTTTTATTTGTCTTACCATGAGTGTTGATGACCCAAAGTTAAGTTCAAAAAGATTTAAGACGGCAAAATCTTCAGTTAGTTAGAGAAGTCGAATTAACGCATCAGCCATTTTGTTTTTGGCTAGTTCCTAGGCTACCTTCAAATCTGTCTATTTCGTTACCAGACCTCTTTCTCTACCTCGGATCGAAATGTTTTTCAACTTCCTGATTTCGTTTAGTCAGCAGATTACTCGTTTGCATTCTTCCAAGAATTGATTATTAATTGAAACTTTGCCCATGTCACACACAAGTGATAAAGCTCGTCGGCTGGTTTTTCTAGGCAGCCAAGCTGAGCCATGTTTGATGCAAGAAGAAGTACCCATTCCAATGTTGAAACCTGGTGAAATCCTCGGAAAGCTCCGAATGGCAACCATATGTGGGTCGGATTTACATACAATTAGCGGAAAGAGAAAAGAGCCGGCGCCGAGGTAAAACCTTAAATGCTATTTTATCGCACAGTGTTGAAAAAGGGGATCTTTGAGTTTGTCCATTCCCTGTTTCATGGTTCTAAAAGAGTATATTTTATTGGGGGGGGTGGTGATGGGAAGAGGTGAAAGCTTTGAGAGGCGCTTTTTCTTTCAATCTATCTTTTGAAGTTATGAAGAAAATAGCTCCTCATCAGGAGTAGGCGTAGATCTGGCTGAATGGGAAGGTGTCTTACCTCTAAAAATTCCAACATACGCACCAAGCAGAATTATATAACAATTATAGCAACAAGAGAACAAGAGTTTACAATCTCTTGATCGGAATTTCTTACACCCAATTTTTCAGACCTGAATTTTTATCGGATGATAGCATCAGAAAAACAATTACCTAGCAAATGCACACAACAGATTACCCCTGTACTCAGGTTCTCTTGGGTCAGTTATTTCTTTTCTTTTTTTCTGTTCAACTCTCTTTTGCTAAAGATCTAGTGAAAGGAAACAAATAGGTTTATAGCAACAGTGTAATTCAAGGTCAAAGATCGAAACACAATTAAAACCCAGTGCATCTGTTTGATCACCAATGACCATACTGGGGTACATGTAGTGACAAACAAAAGATAATGAATTTATTTTTCTGTCACTAAGGTACATGCAAGTAAAAAATATTTTCTTTTTTCCATAACTTTACCTACTCCATACTGTTTAAGAGAATCAAAAGGATGAGCTAGTACTTGTGAGCCTTACAAAACAGTTAATTACTGAAAACAGGAGTGAAATGTAGGTGTAGATCCATGAAATTAAAAATGAAGGTGGCTAAAAAGTTCTAATCATAGTATAATGTCACTCAATATCTCAAACACATATTCTCAATAAATCTGGGTTAATTTGGATTAATTTATAATATACACAGAATTTTCGACCGTAAACTATGAAGAATTTTCCATCCTACAAAAACTCCAAGCATTGTTGAACCAATGTGATCAAACTTAAAAGATTAATAAAGTGTAAACCTATACAGCTGAAGTCCTCTCTCAACAAACACCTCAACTCAGTCCATGCTATTTGATTTCTCCATTATATATTTTTTCAAAGATGGAGATTTTGTAGCTCTAACTAAGAGTCATTCTTTCATCAACTAATTCACCTTTCACAGATACTCATGCAATGTCATTAAACTATAGCATTCTTGGACATGAGGGTGTTGTGGAAGTATTTAATCATTTGCGTCCAGATGCTGACATCAAAAAAGGGGACAGAATAACATTTTACATCATCAACTGTTGCAAAAAGTGTGTAAACTGCAGAGAAGGACTTCAGCAGAAATGCAGTTCTTTGTTCAAGGTAACAGACTATCACAGTGACAAATAAATAGTTTTAAAAAAATTAGGAAGAGGGTGTTAGGGAGATGGGTTAGAGGTGGTATTTTTTATCCTTGGTTCTAACTTGAGAATGTCAGAGGTTAATGGATGTCAATTAACTGGAATTCCAGTAAAACAGTACAGTTCAATTCCTGGCTAGAGCCATTATGTGGTGCACTTGAGATTTTTTAAAGATACTTCACAGATGTGATCATTAATTCTTCCTTCCATCTGACAATCATTTTCTGGAGAGTAATTTGGAGAATTTGGTGCCATATCAAGAAATATGCATTCATCTGTTTACTGAATAATGTATCAATCTTGAAAGGAGAAATTATAAGTTGATCACTTCTAGGATTGAAAGGTTTCATAAGACTGTGTAGGGTTCCTTTCTCTCAGCCTATCTTCATTCCAAACATATTGACCTTTCTTCTGAAGCCTTAATTACTTCATCAAACACTATCAAAGAGGAACAATATTCTAGGGCTGCTAAATACTTGAGGCCACAATGTCTTTTCACAAACGGCTTCCAGTAGATTGTAGCATTCCCCATTGAATAAAAATCTTGCTTATTCTTTTGTAACCCTTTGACCCTAAGAGTGATTAGCATCTAATTTCTCTGTATAATGTCACCCCTGAATCACACATTAAGGTCAGGAGAATAAAGGAAGCAATCATCAAACAAAGGAGCTCTTGATTGTTAAACAAATTCTCTGTGTCAGCACCTAAGGAAATGTATAGAGAACAGTATGGAGAATATGCATGCTGTGTTAGGGTGTTAAGGTTTAAATTCACTCTGGGCTTTCATTTGTTTTTGCAGTATGGTCATTCTATCATGACGGAAGAATCACAACTTAATGGTTGTTATGCATCTCATATTATCATACACAGTGGAACACATGTTGCAAAAATCCCTGATCAAGTCAAAGATAATGTGGCTGCTACAGTTAATTGTGCACTAGCAACAATGGTTAATGTTGTGTCTGGACTAACAGGAAAAAGTCCTTATCGTGACACAGTTGCCTTAATTCAGGTATGCAGTTGTGAGATTTGAGAGGCATGCTATGCGAAAAAAAAAAGCAAAAAAACAATATACTCTTAAGGCTTATCCATTTCACTAAAATGATTACTGCTATCCAACTTTTTGCAAATTATTGTGAAAAATTTCCCATGGGCAATATGTGGAATGGGCCCATACTGTTGTCTTTAGTTGAAGGATTACTTTCCTGTTATTTCAGATAATTGTATGTATTTTAAAAACAATTCAAACCTTCTAAGAATGATAAGCAACTGATTTCCTCCAACAGTATCATTTCTGAATCAAACATGGATGTCACGAGAATAAAGCAAATGGTCACAAACTCAAGAACCTCTAGATTGTTACAAAAATTCTCCTTATAAGTAACACAGGAAATTTATAGAGAACAGTATAGAGAACTTACATACTGGTGGTTGTTGTTACTGAACAGTACCGCTTTTTGATTGCATGCATGGCAAAAAACTAAAACAAAGTTCTCCCAATGGCCAATGAAGAGTCAGGAAATTATTACAGGGAGCCAATGAGAACTCAAATGTGAGCAACCAAGTTGCGATTGGTTTCAGGTACATATAGGTATCTGATTGGACGACAAATTGCCGTCACATTTTTTTTTTTACCAAATACAGACTGAAGTGAACCTATGTCCTTTCCAAAAAATTTCAAATTGCTCTGAAACCTCAAACTCTGTTGATGACTATATGGCTAATTTTCCAATTTGTAGGGTTGTGGTCTTCTAGGAATTTATGGCTGTGTGCTTCTTCGTGAAGCTGGCTTCAGCAAAGTTTACTGTTCTGATATTGAACCCAAGAGACTGAAAATGGTTCAAAAGTTTGGTGGAATTCCCGTCATAGCAGGTGAAAAAGGCTTTTTTTACATTTTCCTTGTAGATGCGTGATAAAATCATTAGATAAAAGATAAAGGTTTATATGAAGGGATGTGATATGATTTGATTGTTTTGAGATGATTATACATTACTTCCCATATTGATCCTTTTTTTAAACTTATTCTTGACATTTCCATTAAACTCTGACCTTCTGCAGTGTTAACTGCAAGTTTACTAATTAAAGGAAGAACTTACTGATATTCCACATAATTTCCAAATTTCTAGGTGGAAGCCCTCCAAGTGATCTTGGTGAAAGTTCTGTTGATGTGGTTATAGAAGTGAGGAACTTATATTAATCAAACTAAACGTTATGAATTTTAAATCAGTTTACACCTTTTAGGGGTGACACAGTGCCCTTTTGCCTTATAGTTAGTGCGCTCTACTCCAGATGGAGTGGTCCAGGTGCAAACCCCTGCCAGGGACATTGTGTTGTGTTTTTAGGCAAGACACTTTACTCTCGCAGTGCCTCTCTTCACCCGGGTGTTTTAATGGCTACCAGTGTACTTAATGCTGGGGGTAACCCTGCGATGGACTAGCATCCCATCCAGGGGGTAGTAGAAATACTCCTAGTCGCTTCATGCTGTAGAAACCAAAGGTAAGCGCCAGTCTGATGGGCCACTTGGCTTGTAACCAGGCTTTACCTACCTCACCTTGCACTTTTTGGAATCTTAACCCTTGAGCCCCCCTAAGAGTGACAGCATCGAATTTCCAAATCAAACATTAAATTCGTGGAGATAAGGGAAATGATCAGAAACTCAAGATGCTCTTGATTGTTAGACATGTTCTCTTCACAAGCACTATAGGAAATGTATAACGCACAGTACAGAGAACTTGAATACCAATGTTAAGGTATGAAGGGTGTTGACTGCAGTTAATTAGTTTTAAATTAATTAAAAGAGGATTATTCTACACATTTTTGTTTCATAATTCATCAAATTGCAGTCTGAGACGGTTGTGTATGTATTTAAAGGTTTGTGGTTTCCCAGGTGTGATACCTGATGGAGTAAGACTCCTTCGTACTGGGGGTTTATATGTGCTTGCTGGTATGGTACATCCGAATTCCAATTTAGATATCACCGGTGAGCAGATCATACGAAAGTGTATCACTATTAAAGGTAAGTATGTGTGTCCTGCCTAATTATTTCATGGATAACATCTGGTAATTGAGCCAGAGCATTAAGCCATGGATAACTAGAGGGATAAGGAAATCTATCAGAATAAAAAATAAACTTCTATCATTTGGAAATAAAGATCAATACAAATACTACCCAAATAAAATTCTGACAGTTACGTGTCTGAGTAATAAGCTGTATTATCAAAAATTTCTTCAAGTAAACATTAAAGATATGAAAAAAACTTGGGAAGGCATTAACAATCTTCTTAATAATAAAAAGAAAATCAGGAAAGCAATAAATATATTAAAGAGCTCGGACAATCGAGGGCTCAAATCTCATAACCCCTATGAACATACTAAATATACTAAACTCCCATTTTGCACCTATTGGGAAAAAACTTGCTTCAAAAATTCCACCTGGTAATAAACATAATTATTTCAGATTTTCTGCCTACGATAGCCTATAGTGTTTCTTTTTTATTTGAACCAGCCCTTTTTTCTGATGTTGAGCTTGAAATAATGTTGGTACCTTCAGGTAAAGCACATGGATTGTACTCTTGCCCAAGTCGTATACTAAGGTGCTCGCGTGACATAGTATTGCCAAACCTCTAACGACTCTAATAAATGTTTCTGTTCAGAATGGTCACTTCCCATCGAGACTAAAACATGCCAAAATTGTTCCCGTGTTCAAAGATGGAGATGAAACTGATCCTTGTAGCTATTGTTCTCTATCACTCCTCTCGATATTTAACAGAATTTTTGAAAAAATTATGAGCAATCGAATGAAAGTATTTTTGAAGCATGACATATCATAAGCTATGTTCCACTGAACATGTAATCTTCGATATAGTCAGCAAAATCCAGGCTTACATGGATATGGGTATGTTCTCATGTGGAATTTTTAATGATTTGCAAAAAGCATTCAACACGGTTGACCACTCGATCCTGTTACATAAACTCAATCACTATGGAATTTGCAGAGTTGTAAATGACTGGTTTTCATCGTACTTGTCTGGAAGGGTCCAAACCACACAAATAGAAACCTACATATCCCAAAAAGAGAAAACCCTGTGTGGGGTCCCACAGGGCTCCGTGTTAGGGCCATTGCTGTTTCTTATTTATATCAATGACATTTACAAAGCTTCAGATAAAATAAGGATTCTATTTATTCGCTGACAATACAAATCTGCTATTTGCTGACAGAAACCTTAAATCTCTTGAAAAAGTGGTGGATGTGGAACTAATGAATGTTTATGATTGGCTAGCCTCAAATAAACTCTCTTTAAATGTAAAGAAAACCAACGTTGTCATCTTCCATTCCAGCCAGAAGCGACTTAATTACAAAGTAAATCTAAAAATATATGATAATAATAGAAAAAATTTCATTGACCTGGAGCGTAAAGACTAATATGTGAAATATTTAGGTGTACTTATTGACAGTCATCCTCGGAGACCCAGGGGCTGAGTCGATTTCAAGTTAGGGCATGAAGAGCCCCTGGGGACATTGTCTTACAAGACTAGTTCCCTTACATACTGATGGTTGTTGTTACTGAACAGTAGCGCTTTTTGATTGCATGCATGGCAAAAAACTAAAACAAAGTTCTCCCAATGGCCAATGAGGAGTCAGGAAATTATTACAGGGAGCCAATGAGAACTAAAATGTGAGCAACCAAGTTGCGATTGGTTTCAGGTACATATAGGTATCTGATTGGACGACAAATTGCCGTCANTAGATCAACACAAAAACTCATTCTCAAGGATTGGTTGTAAAATTTGGAATAGCATCCCAGGAAACTTAAGGAATCTTCCTAAACATATTTTCAAGAAAAAGATAACAACAATATTATTTTAAAATCTTCAAGTTCAGGATAGTTATGTTGACATAGAACGAATAATCAATGATGTGTCGAAAGTTAAATCCAATGAATAGTAGTGTATAACTTATGTATTCTATTTATTGTCATGTGTTTCTGTTTCTGTATTTTTATCTCACACTGTCATTTCTGCTTTACTGATTCAATATTTAATTTCTGTTTCTTGTATATTTATTGAATCTTTTGTTGAGCTGAAATTTATTTAAGATGTTTTAGCACCCACTCGCTGCCCGCCGAGACTAGCTCTGCTATTTGTGGTTAGTCCTTCATTATATTAAGTGACATGTCATGTCTGATTACAATAAAGGTAAAGTGCTTGAAGTTACAGTAAGGTGTGCATCTCTATCAATGGCTTCTTGACTCACTCTCTTTTTTTCCTTTTCCCTTTCATCGATCATCATCAGGAATTCACAACTATGGTCCCCAACATCTGGATGAAGCTGTTTCATTTCTTTCCAGAACATGTGATAATTATCCATTTGAAGAACTCTTCAGCCCATCTTTTAAACTGATGGATTTTGAACAAGCCTTGCAACTTTCCAAACAGCAAGCATTTAACAGAGTTTGTGTGGAGCCCTGAAGGACACTTTTGTTCCCTGAGTCGTTGTTCCCTTTCACTCCCTGGACCTGCACTTTGCACACAAATATCAAAAAATTTTTTATTATGATTTTTTTTTTATCATTAAGGTACGAGGCATTCCGTTGCGCGCATAAATCCAGATGGTAAAATATGAAGTAAGAAATCGAAAAGTGTACTCAAAAACCAAATATTTTTTTGAAATACATATTGAATGATTAAATCGAAAAGTTCAAGTAATTTAATCCAAATGATATTTATTAAAACGACATGCACGACGAAGGTTTTACAGAAAGGTAGCTTATATTTATCAAATATGTACTAACTATTGATTACTGAAAACTGATCACTTAATTTAATGTTGAAACGCAAGGTGTGATCATATAGACTCCCATGCTAGAGCCTCGTGTTAGAAACGTTCGAAAAACAAGATATAGATGAAAATATGTAAAAGTAAAATTACGTATAATTATGACGATACCACCACGTATACTAATTACAAGATCAATTAATAAAATGTGCACAAGAAACACGTGACTTTATTACATGCAGGTCATGCACTGCCACCCCGAGAGCTAACAAAGCCCGCATTATAACGAAATTGTTTCGATGTAGGCGAGGATACAATGAAACGTGGTGGTGTGAGAAAGAACTTATTAATAAAGTTGGTTATGAATGACAAGGCTATATCCGACGCGCTAAGGAACTCTTGCGTTTATAATTATTTAAAGAAAACGGAGGGATAATGTACAACAGAATAAAGGCTGATAGTTTCTAAAGAAACTGTTTGGGGCTCCGTCGGTGGGGGTAACGAAATAATTTGGTTATATCAACAAAGTTGAAATGGTAAATTGGCCACCGTAACGATTACAAAAGCTGACGTTTGGAGCGTTAGCCTTTCGTCGGAGCGAAGGGCTAACGCTCCGACGAAGGGCTAACGCTCGAAACGTTAGCTTTTGTAATCGTTACGGTGGCCAATTTACCATTTCAACTTTGTTGATATATCCAAATTATAATGTACAACAGTTTTTTTTTGCGGGATTTTACGGAAGGTGATGGTCTGTTTGTCACATGAAATCCTCCGTCTTATATGGACGTCACATGTTGCCTGTCTAGGTCATTGACAATCGCGAGTTGTTTTAAAAGGTCAGATTACCATATCGGCCAATATTTTTGGTTTGCGTTAAAGACGAGAGTGAAAAGCCAGCAAACAGAAGAAACTAAAGCTAGGGAAGATAAGAAAAGGTAACAATGAATATGGAAAAGTTAGTGTTCATAAGTGTTCTCGGCGCCGGGGAATGGGGAACACTAACGGGTTTTGTTCTACTTTTCAACCCCCAAGGGAGTAGTAAAGGCAGATCCTGCGAAGTATGACTTCATTAAGCGGCTCCATTTTATGGAAGAGGAACTGTGTTTCGTATTTGATTTACAAAAAGAAAATGAATATCCGTCACTAAGTTGTAATTCAAAAGACTTTGAAGCCTCTCTGAAAATCGATTCTTTTTCATATTATTACAAATAAAACAGAAAGGTCGCCTAAGAGGTAAGTAGTCATTTTGGCGTAAACAAGTGCGGTGACCTATCAATTTTTTTTTTTCACTGATCCATATAAAGGGACAGCTTTCTCTGGTTAAAGGTAATCTTGAAAAACGTGACTTTACGGCCTCCAGTCTAAAGTCCTAATAAGTAAAATGTATAAACGTGAGGCAGAAAAATGTGTGAGAAATGAAGGAGTCAAAAGTTTTGAAAACGCGAGGCTGGAGATGTCTGCAAAAGGAGAGGGCAAAAACTCGAGAAAAAGAAAAAACAAAAGGAGATAGCCAAATGGGAAATAGTAGCTCTAGAAATTTTCAACATAACAACACTTTTACCGCCTTGTAGAGCGGTGACGCTTTTTCCGAGCTCAGCACCTTCGCGTGCTTCTTTTTCAACTTCCTTCAACATGCTCCCTGACTGTCTGACCGATTTATTTGTATTTACGCCACAGTTTATTTATATCTACATATTATATCTTTTATTATAATAAAGGGGGTGTGGTGCTACGTTGGTAGGGAAGTATAATAAGAGAATTTGGTTTTATCAGCTTAGTTAACAATGTAATTAAATTGGCCACAGTGAGGAGTTTGAAGCTGACGTTTCGAGCGTTAGCCCTTCGTCAGAGAGAAGGACATTTTTCAGTCTTGCACTCTTTTCTTCAGCTTTTTAACTCTTTACGGTGGCTAATTTACATTATCAACTCAGTTGATAAAACCAATTTTCTTATATGTCTTGCAGTCAGAGGCCAAGCTGAACTTGATTTGAAGGTAGAATGTCTCAAGATACTGGCAATATGGCCCGTCGGTTTGTATTTCTTGGCAGCCAATCAGAGCCATGCATTATTCAGGAAGTTGTTTCTATTCCAAAATTGAAATCTGGTGAAATTCTTGGAAAGATGCGCATGGCGACAATTTGTAAGTCGGATCTACACACAATAAGTGGAAGGAGAAAAAAGGCTACACCTTGGTAACTTGAACTTTTCATACACGTAGTCATCGAAAATTTCTTACTTTGTCAGGCAGTTGAGCAATTTTGAATTGAGCGTCATAGCAATCCGGTACTGCTGTGGTTTTGCTTTACTTCGGTCGATGATTGGTTTGCCAAACTCGCGCCATATTCTAAACCAATCAGACGCAATACGATGACGAGTGCTGACCGTAGTTGCCTTCGTTTTCCCACGCTTGTGGCGGTTTTCCCGTTTTTATTTTAGGCGCTTATAGGTCGTTTTGAGCTTTTTTGGTTTTCGTTTTTTGTCAGTCAGTTGAAAACTGCCCTGTGTATCTATTGGACACTTTGAGCAGGTTCTTTATCCTAATGCTTCAAAGTTTTCGCACACGTCATCGGCAAACAATGATAATATGAAACAGGCTCGCTCAGTTGCGTTTGATCCCACGAATTTACCAGCTATGCTATCAATGCAGTGAGATCATGTTCTTTAATAAATATTTGTAATTTTCTGATCATAGTATTCTTGGGCATGAAGGTATCATCGAAGTAATTGATCATCTACGTTCAGACGCCAGCTTCCAAAGAGGAGATAGGCTGACATTTCATATAGCAGACTGTTGCGATGAGTGTGAGAACTGTAGAGGTGGACTTCAACAGAAATGCACGTCCTTGTTAAAGGTATGTTTTTAACCGACACCATGGCCACATCAGACCCAGCCTATAATAAGTAAAAAGACAGAAACACTTCGGTGGCCGACTCTTTGCGAACTTTTGATGCATCACGCATGCGCAGTGGTAGCATATCATAGTAAGAACTGACGCATCAAATCCGTGATATCCTTTATTTTAGCCTGTAATGAGTAGTTTGAAGACGAGTGTGCCTAAAGTTTTAGTGCGTCAGCTTAACGTCGTCTACGATGGTCACCAAGCTGCCAAGGTATAAAATGTGACCTCGAACAAATTATTTTTCATTTTTGCTGAAAATGGAAAAAAAAGACGTGAAATTAATTGAGAAATGCAATGATCTTGTGCTTCTTATGCAGTCATATCTCGATAAGCTAGGTAACTGATTTTTACATAACATGGTGGCTTGTCCGAAAAAATTATTTTTTCAATTTCGATCCGTATCCTCTATAAATTTTTCTACAGTATGGTCACTCCACCATGACAGAAGACTCGCAACTAAACGGTTGTTACGCATCTCACATTGTCATCCACTGTGGGACACATGTTGTAAAAATACCTGATCATGTGCAAGATAAGATGGCTGCTACAGCAAACTGTGCATTGGCGACCATGATTAATGCAGTATCCGACGTGCTTGAAAAACGTAGTCCTTATGACACAGTTGTTGTCATTCAGGTATGTTATCCATCTAAGGGGTTGGGTACAAGGAAGGAAGCGAGGGCTGAAGGCGGGATGTTAGATTTCAAGAGACCGCCGCGAAGTCAGTTAATCTGGCAGAGCCCGTGAGATTCGAGTCGGAAGCGAGTGTGTGCGAGAGGTCTGTTAGAGGTCAGGAATATTTGTGCGTGTGCTAGAACCGTCCCAGACTTCTTGCAGACCTGTCGCTTGCTCACACTAGTTGTTTATCATCATGACCCATCACAACTGCGAAGAATGCGCTGTTCGTGCAATGACAAAGTAGAAACACACTCGTAAAAGGAAAACTCAAATTGTAAAATTGTAAAATTCATTAATTTTTTTTAAGGATTCATATTGGGCTCGTTACATTGTAGGGATGTGGTCTTCTAGGAATCTATGGGTGTGTGCTTCTTCATGAAGCTGGCTTCTGCAAAGTTTTCTGTGTTGGTACCAATCCCAAGAGGCTCGAAATGGTTCCAAAGTTTGGAGGTATTCCTATCGTAGAAGGTTAGAATTTTCATTTCTGCGTCAATTTTCTACTCAAAATAACTCTATATCCGATATTTCGAAAATATGTAAAAGAGGAAAAGCTTTGGCTGTTCTTGTCAGCCTCATGCGCTCAAGGGTTTTAATTCAAATAAAACTGTTTGCCTCAGCCCTCCGTCCTCCGAATACTACCACCAAAGAGGTACGAGGAAACGGTCTCTGGGTGTGCGTAAGGATTGGGTCCTAACAGAGCCATTAAGCAGTTATTTTAAAATCATTCTGTCGCATTTGATACTGAAATTTTGAAAATGAAGTTAATGAAAATTTGGTGCTCTTCTAGCTTTAGACTTTGTCGTCTGGATTTCTTTTAGCAAAATGGTGCTAATTGTCTATTATTATTATTATTATTATTATTTATTTTTTTTTTGCTTAGTTGTTTTTTATTCGTATTCATTCTTTTTAGCGCCCAGAGTATCTGCACTGGGTTAAGGAAGAAAGCAGAGAAACAGAGAAAGAAATGTATATATTTAAACGTATGAGTAGGTAGAGAAGCCTGTAAAAAAAAGATGTACATATAACTCTCGTGTTCCAAATTTAAGGTAGATGACATTTCATTTTTCTTACTGACAGGTACACACACTTCTAATGGTCTCCATAACAACTCAGTGGATGTGATTATAGAGGTTTGGTTTTCGTTTGACAGCACTCAATCGAAACTGTCAATCATTCGTTGTATTGCTGTATTTATTACCGCGCTATATTTGATAGGTTTGCGGGGACTCGAGCGTGATACCCGTTGGGATGAAACTCCTTCGGGCCGGAGGTTTATATGTATTTGCTGGTATGGTTCATCCAGATTCCAAGTTGGACATCAATGGAGAACAAATTATACAAAAGTGTATCACTATTAAAGGTGATCAGAATTGATTATCATACTATTTTCCATGTAAAATAGCACTTATTTTGTTAATTTACTGGGTTTGTAGTTACATCGTAACTAAAATGACAGCAGGAAAAAAATTTAGCGGTACAGTAACTGGCTTCAGTTCCCTTAGCTCTCGTTAGTAGTCAGTTGACCCAAATCAAATGTACGTGGACCAGTAGCCAAAATTAGATTTTCCTTAAATTTCTTCTTAGCCATTATTATCATTTTCATGATATATTATTATATTTATTATTTTATCAATAGTATGATATTATTCTTATTACTCGTGTTGAAAATTCGGGGATTTTTTTTTCCAGTTACAAATCACCGTTAAGGCTCAGTATATTTATTTCATTTATTTTTAGTTTGTCCTTATAAGCAACTCTAAAAGCTGTTGGAGGTCGATAAGGCCTTGAGTAACAAGTTGACGAGAGGTCTGCAGGAGGTTTAAAACTGATAATTACTAGTGCCAGACCCCCTACAAACCTCTCTCCGACTCGTCTCAAATCTTTCCGCGGAAGAAGAAACCTGCGTCCTTCAGCAGTAATAATGAGAGCCTACTCTCAGGCAAGAGACTGGGTCTGAGTAATGTTTTCATTGCCATCAACGGTGTTTACCGGTTTTACTCTCTGTTTTCCTTTTCCCTTTCATTGATCTTCATCAGGAATACACAACTATGGTCCTCAACATCTGGATGAAGCTGTTTCGTTTCTTTCCAGAACTTGTGATAAATATCCGTACGATGAACTCTTCAGTCCATCTTTCAAACTGACAGATTTTGAACAAGCCTTGGAGCAATCCAAACAGCAAGTGTATTTCAGAGTCTGTGTTACGCCTTGAGAGATAATAAAGCTTTATTTCTGGGTTGTTCTCAGAGCTCACTGTACGTAGTTACCCGTTGTTTGGTAACACGAGTACGATTTGACTTCAAGGTTGCCTATAAATTTCTTTTTGTCTGTTACCCATTTCCTCACTGCCGAACTGCACATTAAATTAGGATATGGGGGTGTCAAGTCCCCAGGATCCCATAAATGGGTTATTTTACCTGCCCGTGAAACCGCAGACATCAGAACACATTTCAGTTTAGAATTCCGCCGGATACGATACGTCCTACTTTTCCTTTAAATCTAAAAATAAAAAATCCTGTCAAGCACACACCAAACATTACGGGTATTTTAATCATATCTGAAGATGAAAATAACCGTTTTGAACGTGACTTAGTAATCAGCAACGGTGTGGTTCTCGACCTACTATATTTTATGGTTGGCTAGATACGGCCCTCACCTGTTATTCTATGCATATTAAATATACGCAGGAGCCCATCGCTAGATTACCATTGTTGCTTTACTAAGAAGAAGAATGATCAAGCGAGAATCTGAATATAAGAAGACTACGTTTGTTTTGAGAGAGAAACTTATTCGGAACAATGAATTGCAATACTTAGGGATGATTTGAATTTTATCAACTTTGAGCCGTATTTTTCAATCGGAATATTTCATTCCTGTCCATAAACTCAGTGAGCCATATCCAATAAGCATATATTTCTGCTACTCACAACAATTTCCAATTCAGTTAAGGGAGGACACGCATTCGGAACACAATACGTAAGGGCTTCGTTTATCTTAAAAGTAATGATAACAGAAATGTAATTCCTTGTACCGACTTCCGTAATCACCATTGTAAAAGCTTTGGAAAGAACATTAATTATTGTCTCAAAACACCGAATTTTGTTTAAAATTTGATCAATAAAATACATGATACTCACGCACACAGTAGGTGGAATCGCGATCTGTACCGAAAACTTTGCCATAACAAACGAGACTCCATAGTAGTGTATCAAAAATAACCCAATGAAATACCCACCCTCCCCCCCTCCCCCCTCCATATAACATGCATCTGTAATAAAGTTCCTTTGTTCTGCTTCGTGTAGCAAGACATTTCGCATGAACGTTTCAAAACTACCAAAACACAACCGGTAAATCATACCGGTTGTTGTTTGGTGGGGCTGATAAACCTTCCACATAATCATTAGTGGTTTTGTTAACAATGTTCTGCAAAATTTCAATAGTTCAAACAATTGCTATCGTTTTCAAGGAGGTTTCGCGTACATCTGTTTGTTTCAGCAAAGATGGAAGAAGAATGAGGCACGTTTCGCTTCAGCGAAGCAGAACAGACACGTAAACTCATGAAATATTCACGGAAGTTTTTAATACAGACATACTTGCACCGCGTATTTTCGTGATAAGGTCACGATTCACCCTCTCCAACTGTTACCACATTGCTACAAGGAAGGGCAACTTCACACTCAGACGTCGTTCCTTTTTCACTTACGGAAACAGATACTGGTGTAATACTATAGTTACACTAATCGGGCGGATCCTGAATGCTGACACTGCTCTTGGAGGTCGTTTTCCATCAATAACTTAAACATGCTAATATTATCAATTTCTTTCAGTTTCCACTAGGACTGTATAAGAACAATGTAACGAAAAAAAAGAAAAAAAAAAACAGCCAGTCTTGGATCAGAATTTGAAGATTATTTATGAATAATAAACGACTTTATTTCCGTGAAAACAGAAACTGTCGTTTCCTTTGGGTATCGAATTTGGGGAAAAAATCCGATTTTGAAACAAGATATTTCCCCAAAGTGCTGGTACAGAAACAAAAGTTGTGTATGCCTGTATACAACTCTAAAAAACGTAGATATGATGGAAAGAAGGCTATGATGTAACACAAGAGTCTGGTAAAATAGATTTACGCAAAGCACACAAAAACAAGATAAAACAATAAATAAGTTATGATCCATGAGCGTTCGAATCTAATTTGGGCCGAAATGCTTCCGCAATCTCAGTCAACGTTCACCAACGTTATATTCTTCCTTATACCATATTTTTTAAGTAAAACCGGAATTCTGAACACATCACTTTGAAATTTATAATCTCAGATGATTTGGTAAATCTACTTTGTATACGACATTTTACTGTTTAGTATTTGATTAAGTTAAAAACATTTATTTGTAAAAAACATAATGTGAAAACAAATCAGTGACTAAAAGAGAGGATAAAACCTGAAACGGTTTTACTCCCACGTATATAACGGGATTTTTTTTTCAACTCTCAAATAAATCCTCTCGATTCCTAATTTCGGTTCAGGAAGCTCTTGGCCGTCTAGATCTTTCAAATACGATGAATATATGGAGTTCATATATTTTGAACTGCGGTTATAGATACGTATGATGCACGATCCTCAAAGTAGAGAGCGCTATTTATGCAATAGTGAAAATCAGACCTTAGATCTTTCAAGTTATTATCGATCATGAGAGTTTAAGACCTTAGATCTTTCAAGTTATTATCGATCATGAGAGTTTTTGGCTGCTCTGTCTTAAATATGTGATGATAAATACACAGCGAGATTTTTGTTTAACGAACGGAAATATATTTTCTTTGAAATTTTTACCTGTGGATATTGTAACCAAATAAAAGGAATTTAGCGGTTGACAATCGCTCGGGGAAAAGCACTCAACCGCGCGGCGAGATTCAGGAGGAAACATAACAAAAATTTATGTTCAACTTTCAAAAACCTTTAACAAAGCTGTGATGCCTAGAACACAAAGCTCAATTAATAATATTAACGATTACAAAAGCTGACGTTTCGAGCGTTAGCCCTTGGTCAGAGCGAATGACGAAGGGCTAACGCTCGAAACATCAGCTTTTGTAATCGTTACGGTGGCCAATTTACCACTTCAACTTTGTTGATATATCCAAATTATTTCGTTACCACCACCGACGCAGCCCCAAACAGTTTCTTTAGAAACTATCAGCCTTTATTAATAGTATTGTTGGTTTTTGAAATATAGACGTGATGTCGCGCTGCAAAGTATATTATTTGACGAACTTTGCATCATGTTGATCAAAGTATTTTATGGTGTAATCCTCTTTTAGAATTAAATAATATACGTTTTGATTTGGAGTCTTACGGTAAAATGGCATCGCCGTGACGCATTTTCTAACGATTTTTCTCCAAATATGATGAGGCAGGAATCTGTGATAACTTAGGAATACTAATAATTTCAGTTTTTATCAGCGAACGTAATCGTGACAAGAAGTAAATAACATGACACCGGGTGATTTATTTTTTGAAACGTGTCCGATGCAACGTGCCCTGTCTAAAATATCTCGAGAGTTCCGTGACTGCTTTCACGTCCGAAATATTTTGGATATGGCGGTTTTTCCCCGTAAACTGCCGAAAGTTTGGAATAAATAACATGTTTGCATTATATACGAGCAAAACGAAACGTTTTATTTTTGGAGGAAGAAGTAAAAATAGCCGTATGATTGATTTTGTCTGAAATGTGAAACATTTCATATAGCAACCGGAAGTGAAAGAATTGTTCTTTCTTACGTCATCCGTTCTTGGTCCACGTGAGGGTTATAAAAATGGCGGCCGAAGGATTTCAGGGTCAGTAGCAGTTTTACGAAGTGGTGTGTGGGTTGTGAGATTTACCTGACGGGCCATCTGCCTTTTTGCATTTTATTAGAGATGGCAGACGTTCAGAGGGAAGAAAGTTTAGGAAAGACAAACGCAGAGAAAGTCGAGGCTTCGCCTAAGTTGTTGTTGAATGGACAAGAAGTAAGTTTCACCGCTTGTTCAGATCATGACGTAGCAGGTTCGTCGCATTCAGAAGATGAAGTCGATCGCAAATATCGGCAGTCTCCCGTCGATTCCCACTCTGACAACGATAGTAAAGATGGAACTGAACCTTTTCAGCCTCCTAGCGATGAACTGGCGGAAAAAATTGTGTCCCAAGTCGAGTTTTACTTAAGCGACGATAACCTTGCTAAAGATGCCTTCTTACTCAAGCATGTCCGCCGTAACAAAGAAGGTTACGTCAACTTGAAGCTTATAACGTCGTTCAAGAAAGTGAAGACGCTAACAAAAGATTACAGAGTGGTCGCCGAAGCCTTGGAAAAGTCAAAAGAGCTCTCGCTGAATTCAGAGAAGACAAAGGTGAGAAGAAATGAACCTCTTCCTTCCGAACTACTCGAACGTAATCCAGGGAGAACTGTTGTGGTCACACGAATAGAGAACGCTACGATGGAAGGTGTAAGCGAGATTTTCTCAAAATGCGGCGAGATTGAATTAATCCGCATTATTCGCCCAGGAAAAGCAATCCCTGCTGACTTAAAGTCTTACTTTGCCAAACATCCGGAACTCGAGAAAGAAACCACTGCGGTTGTAGCCTTCGAAACGATGGCCGCAGCTGCTCGTGCATGTAGTGAATTTTCAAAGGAAGGCGGCATGAAAGTGGTAGAACTCGGCAAACAAGGCGCTAAGAAGGAGAAATCAAAGTCCAAGACGAAATCCAAAGAAAGGGGAAGCGACGGCGGGCGAGACTCAGACGAGGAACACGACGATTCTACAAAGAAACGCCGGAACAGAAAGAAAAATAAACGTTTGCAAGAGTTGATGGGCAAGAACTCAGATGATAGATTCTCTAGTTCCTGTTCTTCCGATACAGATAATTCCTACTCATCATTCAGTACTTCCCGACGCAGGTACAACGGTGGTGGAAGTCCAACACCTGAGAGGGCTGGATCTCCCACCATTGGCCCTCGACAAGGGGTTCTAGGTGCCCGCCGATCACCTCAGAGTAGTCCAGAACTGCCCAGGAAGCTGGCCAACGTTTCTGCCAAGGAAGGAAGTAACAGTGCTCCTAACAGTCCATGGTCTCAGCGCCGCAAGTTTGGATCACCGAACAGCAGCCATTCGCAAAAATCCAGCCCGTTGGTTGATTCAACCAGCCCTCGACACAGGATGATTCAGTTGGAGGGAGTTCAAAGACTCCCCAAAGGACCTGATGGTACCAAAGGCTTCCATGTAGGTTTTGGACGAGGCAGGCCCCTAGTGGCAGTTGCTTAGTGTATTAATTCAGTGGACTTAATTTATTAAGGTTATGAACAATTTTATGATATTAACTTAAAGAATATGTTTTTTTTGGAGGGGTATACTTTTTCTGGGAAATAGAACAAAATTGTATCTAGTACAGATCAAACATCTTTCAAGGTCAGTATGTTGAAGCAAAAGAGATATGAAATTTCATCACTAATTTCATGGAAAACTGTGACTAGATTTCTTTACTCACTAATTGTCTTGTCATTCATATGAACTTTTTTTTGTTAGAGTGTGGAAATTATTGATGTATAAAATCGCTGAAAAATGACGCTGTATATATTGTTCGAAGCTTTTCTTACATTGAGTGAATACTGTCCCTTGTTCTTTGGCTAATGCTCTTTTTGGGTACCTTGAACTGAGTAATGATACTATTTCTGTGGTAAAAAGTCTTTATTTCCTCTATTTATGGTTGACTAAGGATTGATTGCTAATTTGGATGTACAAAAGCTGTCGACTGAGCATAAATGATAAGCAAGTGATGATGCAAAACATTTCACTTTTGAGTAGAGCTGTTTACATCCTCTATCAATCTACATTTGGTCAACTTTTTTGGAGAATTACAAAGTTCATATTTTTGGGGGGGTTTTTAAATTAATGATAACAATGATATCTCAACTGAGTTTGGACAGTGCTGTAAATAGGGCAAAAAAAAAAGAAAGAATTTAGCAAATTTTCAGGAATTTTTTTAATGGTCAATTTCTTTGTTTTGCTATGTTTCCAATTTTCTTTCTTTTATTATTTGTTTTTTTTTTTTTACAATGAATTTTTGTACAGAAGGAAAACTAGTATTATAGTGCCAAGCTAGAAATTTATCCAAACTGACCTCTAGTTATGACATAGTTAAATGCATATATAGTAGGCATGAATTATCTTTGTTTTTTTTGTAATTTCATTGTTTTTTGACCAGTTAATTTATTCTGCCATTAAAACTTATTGAATTTTTATCTAATAAATTTTATTTCACTGGTCATCTCTTGCCTTTGGAATGAGATAAGTTAGTGGACCAAGTAACTTAACCATATAACTTAAACAGTTAGTGGAATGGTAGAAACTCACTTGAAACTTCTGTAGAAATTCACAGGACAAGTTAGATGTAGATTTGGACCACCATTGGTCCTGGATATTTTTCATAAAGTGGTTATTTGAAGCTATAAATTAACAGTTTTTCCCAGCGACAATTGACAAAATATCAATGCTTCTATCAGGTGCATGACTCATTTGAAGAAGGCTTTAAAAATGGATTTGCCAAGAAATGACTTTACTTTGTTTTATGACCATCCAATAGTTGTCAGTCAACACACAAACCAGATTTGGAGCCAAATGAGTTTCGAACCAAACTCTGAAATTAGTAACCACTTATTATTTGGGAATGTATACGAGTGACATTAAATGCAATTAGATATCCATTTTTCAATTAATCATTTATTGGTGTGAAACACTGTTATGTTTTAGATAAAAGGAGAAATGTTGGCACATTAAACTAATATGAACTGAATGCGTGATTCTTGTCGACAGTTACTTGGGAAGTTTGATTACATAACCAACTCAAGTTACATTGCTTGTAACATATCTTTATTGACTAGGTAAACTCAAACTCCTTTAACTCTCAGTTGTGATTAACATGAAACTTTTCCCATCAATATCCTTATATCCATCTATATAAATTACTCATCTATAAAGCTTTTCTGAAGGGATCTTTGCTCTGATGAAGGGCTAACACTTGAAATGTTAGCTTTTTAACTTTTTACGGTGGCCAATTTACAATTTCAACTTAGTTGATATAACCAAATTACCTTGTTACCCCCACTGGCAGCACCACAGTTTCTTTAAAAACTTCCCCCTTTATTCATTTCTGGAGGAAAAGCCTCCCTCCCTGTAGAAGCAGGAAAGAATTTGTTGAACCACTACTAACATACATGGAGGGGGAGTATGCATGTTGTTTTAGCCTCAGCTTAGCATTGGGACTCAGTCCCTTCCTGCCATGGGGTCACCCATATCAGAAGAAGTAATGCTCACCACTTCAAAGCTGGTAGATAAAATCAAACATTAGAGATAGGCAAATTTAACCAATTTCTCTTCTCCCCTTGATTAAAAGGTAGCCTATTACATGCATTTTAATAGTGCTGCTGAGAAAGTAAAGGAGCTAAACAGGAGAAATTGGTTAATGTGTATCCATGCAGAATTTTTTCTCCTAATGAAAATGAATAATGGTGGAGCCTGTTAAAGAATTTTGTACCCTTTTAAATGATTGGCTTATTAGGTAACCGCTTCCACCCTAAAATCAGAATGCATATTCTCCATACTGTTCTCATTTCATGGAGAATGTGTTTAACAATTAACATCATAACCTTTAATTATTCTGATGACCTTAGTGTGTGATAATATTAATAAAATAGTAATTTAATATTTATATTGCGCAAATTAACATGTGGATATGATCAAATGCACATCACAACACATTTTTGGGGGACTTAGGTGGCCAGACTGCATCAGCAGTTTACAAACAATCAAAGGGAACTTATTTGAAGATGCCCCCTCCCCCCAACTCCCAGTAAACAGGCCAGACAACATCACAGTTATCTTGTGAGTGGGTTCTTTAATGTCCCCTGCCTAACCAAAATGACTAATTAATAGATGCAGGAGACTGGACCTACGGTTTATTCGTCCTTATCCAAGAACACTAGAATGTCTATTCATTTCTTGATATTATAGAAAGGTAGTGCATTCTCCTCAGTTATTTTAAGACCTGGAGTGTTGGTCCAGCCAGGGCTCAAACCATCGACCTTGACCTCCCGCACAATGGTCCAGCACTCTGACCAATTGAGCTAACCGGGAGGCGGGGGGGATGTTGGGAGAAACTCAATGTTTAACAATTAACATCATTTCCTTTAATCATTCTCATGACCTTAGAGTGTGATTGAGGGGTGATGTTGGGAGAAACTCCATGCTAGTCACTCATAAGAGTTAAGGGTTTAAATGCAGAACATCTGTGATACAATAAAGCCTTGCCTCACATTCTTGAACAGAATTCAGATAGTGTAAGAACACAACACTTCAAGTTCACTGTAAGTTTTTAATCTTTTAAATACTCCTTTTTAATTTACATTGTATTTCCTAACATTTTCAAATCTACCATTATCGAATATCTCCTTTTCCGAGGATTCAACTAAATTATTTACACTCAAACTCATATGTTAAAATCCATTGAATCCATTTTCTGCATTTCTGTATGTTGTTTTTTTTTTAATAGAAATTACACAATTTTGGTTTAACCAACATAACAATTATATAAAATGCTATGTAATGAGTAATTCCCAAACCCACGCTGATCTCCAGTAACTTGATATCAAGAAAATCCCTAACTTCTTCAAACTACATTTTTTCAAAAGATTCACCCATAAAACTCCAGCAGCTTCGCTGCTTTAGATGAGAGATGACAATGCCTGCACTGTCAAGGCTCATTTTAAATGTTTCTTTGTACTTTTACTTGTTATCACAGAATGGTTGAAAGATTTCAATTGTGCTTTTTAACTAAATCTGGTGAAAATAATATTTACAACTTCTTTAAGGCTTTGCCTCACTCACTTCAAATCACTATAGTTCAAAAATGAATATAATGTACAAATTATTTTCAGTATCTACCTTTTCATCATCAGTCAGATGTACTAAATACAGAATACTTCTTGTTTATCTAAATACTTTTTATAAAACTTATGGAAATAAATACACTGCTCATAAAACTAGCGGATGATAAATAACCAATTTGAACATGCTTTTAAAATAGCACCTAAATTTCACATCCATTTCAAGTTGGTTGCATTTTGGAACTCAGGCAACTTGTATTCAGGCTGTTTGTAAGTTTAGGAGAGGGTAGCTGGTGTTTCAGATTTGCAGATTATTCATGTAGACAAAGATGTTTAGTGGAAGCACTCTACATCTGGGTTCTGGAATCAAGGTTTAAGAGAGCCCTTTTCTCAAATTTGTACACACACGTTGTTCTCCAGTAAAGTGCAATTTCTACTCATATGAGCCTCAAGATCATCCTCCAACATTTTAAGTGTTTGCCGCACCTATGTGAAATGAAAAATTTCTTTGGTCAATAAACTAAGCCCAATGGATAGTGCGCTGGACTTTTGTGCAGGAGGTAGAGGGTTCGAGCTCCGGCCGGACCAACACTCAAGGTTTTAAAATAATTGAGAAGAATTTGCTACCTTTCTATAACATCAAGAAATGGTTAGATATTCTAGTCTTCTCGGATAGGGACGAATAAATGGAGGTCCCGTCTCCTGCAGGGTT